TCAAAATTCACAAATCTATCCTTATCTAATTTGTTTTCCTCCACCCCTTCTTCCATGTTTCTATTGAATATATATTTAACTAATAGTTAAGCTAAAAAAATTAACTAATAATTGTGGAAACTAATTTTTAAATAATTTAAAAATAATACAATAGTGAAAAAAAAATATTATTCACTTAGATTTGTGTTGCCCTACTCTCAAACAGTTTCATTTAACTAATATTATTAATATATTAAGAGATCACTTTTATAATTTTTGCCAAAGACCTCAAATTATATTGAGCCGCTCCTAACTACACGATGGCAGTGAGACTTTCGACCCCTCCCTCTCAACAATTAGTTTGCCATACTTAATCTCATTAAGGCTTGTAACAACTTCAAATTTGCTATCCAAGTTTTCTTATTTACTTATGGAAGCGAGAATCCCTTCTATATATGGGTGTGACATTGTCGATCATGTCGTCTTTTTTTTTTCCCCTCTCTCAAAATGCCAAATAACAAAAAGGATAAAAAGAAAAACGATAACAATAGCAATATTCTATTTTCAATCCTCTCCTTTTTCTTTGCCTAGCCTATGTAATTTGTAATAACAATATCGTTAGGCTTCACATCCATCCCAAAAGGTAAAGATGGAAGATAAAAAATGAAGAACAAAAATGTGTTTAGTTAACAAGGCCTGTTTGGATAGCAATTTAGTGCACCCGCGTCGCGGGTGAGTCTGGTCACTTGTGTCCCTGACTTGGCTTTGATCATATCCCACCTTGAGAATGGTTTCTTTTTGAGTGGTTCCCCAGATTCAACAAAGTACGCTCCATTCATCATCAGATCTCCATTGCCAATTCCTCCACACATTCTCTGGAGCATAGTCCCTCATAGTCACCTAAAACGGCACCAAAAATAATAATGTGTTACATTTCATCAATGACAGAAAATCATTCTTATTCTTCTAAACTTCTTCTCATTTATCATCATATTTTCTTTATTCTTATAAACTTCTTTCTGGAGAGTTAGTAAAAAATATGAAAAGGCCTTTGAATGTTTGGTTCAAACCTCAACTTATATCAAATTCTCCATGAATACATGACTATGTATGTGGATACATGTATATTTGTGTTTGTGCATTCATGAATCATGTAATGGTAATTTGTTGAAACTTGATTGTATAATTACCTGTTTACAATTATTATCAGGAGGGGCCATGAAACGATTGCCTTGGCTTGATGATGGTAGGATGCGAGCTACCACCAATGGCGTACATGAACCAATGAGTGCAGTCGTTGTTCACGACATGGACGAACCCCCATCTACACCTTGGCATCCTCTGTCTTAAACCCTGTCCAAAGTCGTTGAATGCCACTGTAATTTGCATCAGCGCATCGCCCGAGTACCCATCACTTGCACCAAACAACATCACCTGCATGGATCCATCCATCATTAATTTCTTAATCACACATTACGTATATTCTATACACTTACACGCATGGGCAAAGGTAAAAAGTCAAATTAGAATCATATATACCCTTTGCATGGGAGAAGGGCGGATATCACCCTCACATGAGACATAGTCGGTAGAGTACTGAACCCATCTCATGTGAGCTGATCTTCATCCTTTCCTCTGCGTGATCTGGATTCTTAAAAGGTCAATCATAAACTACCCCTGGTTGCACTTAGAATGAATAGTAATATGTAAACTTTAAAATATGACTGTAATAGTCTGTTATTGAATAAAAACTCTAAAAATATAGTATAAGCTAATAAAAAATAAACATACTAATTAATAAGCAACCAATTAAAAACCATCTTTTTGTACTTGAACACATGTTCTCTAATTTTAAAATTTTGCTCCTGTTTTGTCACTCGTACGTTGTCCAATTTTACTATTTTGATCACATTATATAATTACCTCATTGTGGTGAGTGAAATGGCAGTTGGAGATGGTGATGGCAGTTGAGCCCATGATAGCATCAATGAGACCATCAGTGCAGTTGGACATGGAAATATGGTCAATCCAGACACTGCTTGAACCAAAAATGGAAATCCCATCACCATCACTTCTGCTTCTTAAACCAAAATGGTTAGTAGAATCTCTGATGATACCACCATTTTCCGGAACAATGCATGCATGTGGAGTCCATGAATAACGATGTTCTTGACATACTGGATGGTAATGCCAGCACCATATGCAATGTGGACATTCACTCCCCTAGCATCAGTCGTCTTATCACTTATCATGATGAGTTCCTGATTGAGTCTAATAATCATAGGCCCCGAAAATATGATCCAGAGAGGCTTCTCCTGGATCACAGCATGGCGAAGGGTTCCGGGCTTGGGATTCTGCATGTCATTGTCCGAGGGATCGTTTACCAGATAGAATTCTCCGGACTTTCCACCGGTGGCATTGCGCCCAAAGCCAAGCACGCCGTCGGCCAGCCTCTTCCTGATGCTAGCCCAGTCAGGGCGGCACCTCCAGCACCGGTCAATGGGGTTCGTCGCCTTGCATTTGCTACCTTTTTCTGCAAGGTCCCTCCTTGTGCTATTAATACTACCACCTAATGCCCTGTGAGAAAACAAAAACAAAAAATAAAAAATAAAAAAAATTGAGAGGTATTGCCTGAATGATAAGGGCCAAGCCTTATTAATTAAGTAATTGCTAACTCTCTAACCATGGTCAAAAATAAGCCTCCTTCAACTTTCACCATTTTATAAAATTAAAAAAAAAAAAAAAAAAAAAAAATTACAAAAACTCTTCTAAATTGCACAAAATCCCCCTTTATACTATTCAAAAAGTATGCAGATACCCCCACTTTACAAAGTGACTGAAAATTGACAATTTTTGAACTTGAAATGTTTATAATACTCTTCTTCATTCATCAAAATGAGTTTGAATCATTTTTAAATCGATGAATTTACCCAGAATCTAAATGGGTTTTCTATATTTCTATTTTTGTGACAAGGGTTTATCCTCTTCTCTTTTTTTTTCTTCATTAGCAAGAAATTCACACACACCCTCTTTGCTCTTTAAATAATCGAACTCTCACCATCTATTTTGCAAGGTAGAAGGGATACTACTAGATCACAAGACCCTTTGTGGATTTATCCATATTTCGTATCATATATATATATATATATATATATATATATATACACACACACACACACATTATACCTAATTTTCTTGTCATAAATAGTTCTTCTGTCATTATAAACTTTTTTTAAAAAAATTTTAAGGGTAAAATGGTACTTTCAAAAAACCTATAAAAATGTATGAGAATTTAACTCACTTGACAACATGATTATTGAAATGATGAGTGACTTCCTCTGGGTTTGGATGATATGCCTCCAAGGTGGCTATATGGGCTTCCTTGGCCTTGATTTGCCAATACTCTGATGCGTGAGCATCCAAACTAGGCACTATTGAAGCCAAGGACAAGAAAAATAAGACAATAATTGAATTTCCATTGATGAAATAAGTCATTGTTGTAGTTTTTCTTTTTTTCCTTTCGATCTTTCACAAAAAAAGAACTTTAAATTTTTTGGCATCCACAAGCGAGCCACTGGGCAGTGACTGGCTTGGCTTGGTTCGGGATAGGGCAAATTGCTCTGAGAGAGAGTTTATACACTACACCACAGGAGTCCTAAGAACTTCCAAAGAACTGAGAGACGTTTGAGACTCATAACCTAAGAAATATGTGGCGGGAAAAGTGGGGTGCCACTTCTATATATAAATATCAATATTGGTTATAAATCTATTTAAAGAAAATTATTATCTGAGGAGTATAATAAAGTCGAGGAATTAAGGCCTTACTCTGATTGCCACTCAAAAAGCAGTCTACTGTTTTTCCGAGTGACAAAAAACCAAAAAAAAATAAAATTAAAAAAAAATTGTATTTGTTCCGCTTGAAAGCTGAGTTATAACTGTTATGGTTTTCAAGAAACCACTAGATAGTGTCAAAGTGTGACAGAATAAAAAGTTGTGAAATATTTACAAGAAACACGGATTATTTTGAATTCATAAAGTAATGTATTTCGAATTTACGAAGTCGATAAAATTCATAGAGAATTCTAGAATGTTATTGATAATTGAATGAATAGTCCGCTATGCAGTAAATGTATTTATAAATAAAAATCCTAATTAAAAAGAACACCCTAAAAAAAAACTAGCAGTATATTACCCATTTTAATACTTATAAGATTTTGTTAAATGAATTGTCACATGCAAATAATTAAAGAAAATAGATTTGCCTGGTAATTAAATCTTCGTTAGTGATAGTGATTACTAGAAGACAGAAAACAACTTGAATTACTTCTAAAAATTTCACATTAGTACCGGGAGCCATAGAAACTATAAACGGACTTCCAAAAAGTGTTTCTAATTAATTTCCAAGGAAAACCTAGCTGCATCTTTAGGTAAAAGAGAATTACCAATATTATGAGCATACTTTCTCGAACCCTCTATTGCGAGATTTGAGTAAGATCAAATGTATGCAATCTTACTTGCGCATTTGAAGAAATTATAGGACCTCCAAATTACAATGAAACAAACTTACCGTTACACCAAGACTCACCCCTCTATTCATACTCATTACATTCCAACTTATAGAATGGATCCATTTGAAAAAATACCCTTGCAAAGAAAATGTTTAAAATCATAAATTTAATAATCTCATACAGAGAAATGAACAATCCGGAATAAACAGCTACCCCAGTGCAAGAGACTCTCGCCATTACGAGATTTAGAAATTGTCGGATATACAAGGCCTTACCTCCGCATGAAGAAACTATTACTGATTTCGAAGCCGTGACATCCAGGTCACAATAGAGCTCCGGAATCATATGGGATATCCCCTATTTTAAAAATGTTTCCCTTCAAAATGATGATTTAAACCATCAACGGGTTCCATTTCAAGGAACTTCCAAACAGGGCCTTGAATCATTACTTCATACAATAAAATGGATATTCAAAAAAAAAGGAGCTATTAAAAGACAATAACAAGATGAGAATAAGGAAAAGGTCAAAAACATATTAATTAATTGAACATTAAGAGTTACAACAATTATACAAACTTTTACATTGTAGATGCCAGGTTATTATTCCCCAAGCATGTTTACCTCAATTGTTTCCAGAAGGTATTACAATATATATATATATATAATGTATACAGGTACATAATCCTGCCCTAGACTCAATAATTTATTCTCCTCGTCTTCATCTGACCCTACTACCTTAAGACAAGTTATTCTCACTCTTATCTTGATAAGAGTCTAGTCTGAGTATCTGCACTTAAAGGAGCATAGCTAGAAATCTTGAACAAGTGCAGCACCCCGACCTTGCGAGTTTCAAAACAACTAGTAGAAAAATTACGGTACCTCGGTACTGGATATATTCTGTCAAATGCTTCATATGCTTTTGACAAGAACAGCGTCACTGTCAAATGTCTTAAGACGCTTCCCAGACCTTGTAATCTTTTCCCTCAAAGGCCACAGACCATTTTTGGGATTCCGTTGGGGGCTCATAATGACCTGGTCCGATCTTCATTGCCACTTTTTTATCAATTATGGCAGCATAAACATCCCTTTCTGTCTTGGTTATTTTAACCTGAATTGCGCGTACAACATTAAGTGATATATGTATAGTCAACAGTTTTTGAGGCCTATGTTATACTATATATTAAAAGAAACATTATCAATGAAGCTAACTTCTTTATACTTACCGTACTACGACACTGTATCTTGTTCCGGTTTCGGATAGATAAAAGTGCTTTAATTTCAGAATGATAGTGAGAGAATAGGTGATCATAGAAAACTGCCGGTGTTCCAGGGTGAGTCAGGATGTAAGCATACCCTTGCATCTCCTTTCCGCCAGGAAATCTCCAATGACCCTTTAGGGAAGAAAAGGGAGAAACAAATTAGATTAAGTCTCCAGTGACATCAAAATTGACAAGCAGCATTGTAACATGATTCATATTTACATTCTCTATTTAGAAACCATTCGTGTCTCGTGGATTAAATTTTAACTCTCGCCACACCTGATGTTTTTTTTAAGGATCAATTTAACCATTCTACAAGTGAGGAGCACTGCTGAGTTTTAACCCGCACAAAGCCCCGGGTTCATACAGATTCAATGTCCACTTTTGTCGGGTCTATTGGAGAATCATCAAACATAATGTGTGCAAAGCTGTATCAAACTTGTTTCGGAGTGGAAATCCCTTTAAAAACAGGTCAACTCAACTTTCACTGAGCTGGTCCTTAAGGTGGATAACCCAGAGGCCTTCGAGGATTTCAGACCTATCCCATTGGGCATCATGTAGATCCCAGTTCAGAAAGGAACGGTAAAACCAAAATGTTTATAATAAAGATAAGAGTGGTTTAACCTTAAATCTGACAGAAGCTAATCTTTAATAATTGGGAAGGCTTACATGCCAAATGGTAGAACTTCTAAATTCACCAAAAACTGCACAGCAGGATTAGTCCAGTTACTCCAGTATGGCAATGTAACAAGTTACGCGAATAACGTCTCCCAGTCAAACAATCTTTTGAGTCCAGTAAGAAATTATATGGTGGAAATGAAATATCTCATCTATTGCAGCGGCATGTTTTTTCATAGTTGGTACTCACACTCACGTCTCTACTGAGACTTGAACCCCTGACCTCCCTTTGGGAAGTAAGAGGCTGATACCGCTAGGCCACTGGTCCGTTGGTAAAAAAATTGAAAAGTTAAGCAGGTGGAGTCAATCCACAAGAATGAAATGCAGGAAAGGGAACAATGAATTAGCAAGAATTCAAGATTGACCACTGCATGAGCCTTAAAATTAAGCAACTGCATTTAAACTTTACAGTAAATCACATTAAAAGCTGACAAGTTTATGAGTGAGTTTACCTCAAGGGTGGAGCCAAAAATTTTGATTTGGAGGGGGCGAACTCATACTATGTAGTTAACATTTGAAAATTTTATAAATCTATTGTAATATATATATATATATTTATAATACTAGTCTTAGTATATATTTTGAGAAAAATATAATCTAAAAAATGATAAAAATGCAACCTAAATAAATAGAGATGAAAAATTATATGAGAGAGAGAAAAAAAAACATAGAGAAGAGGAAACAACAAGTTAAATGTGAAGAGAGAAGTGGTAAAGAAAAAACATTGTTAAAAACTTAAACTTTGATTCTATTTTTAAAAAGATATATCATTATTACTTTGATTGAAGATTAATAAAAATATATATATATATATATATATGTACCATTTTAACTAAACTAAACAAGGAGTAGCTATAGAATTTGTCATGTAACAAATGAGAACTAAAAATATTAGCATATATGATACCATTATTGTTGTTGGCATTTTTGCAATCTTGGTCTCATAATACTTCATTTTTTCTTCCTTCCCAGTGCTCCCAAGACTCGACACTGGAGAATTAAGCAAACACCATCTAACAAAAATGTTTGACAAGGAAGGTTCTTGTATTTTTATTAAACATGGGGAGACATTAGTATAATTTTCCTTTTTCTCTCTTGCACTCATATAATGGCGATTATACATGTGTATATATAAATGTAAAATGGAGAAATAATATGTTTCAGTAAAGCCTATTGTTTCACAAAATTTGGACTTCAAAAGTAAGGCTAAAAAAGTTCAAGCTGAATTTTTATGAGTTTCAAGGAGACACGAGTTATATTTATTTCCACTCTCATTATTTTTGGAGCCAATAAACAAGTTTTTGGAAAAGAACCAGAGGGGCCAATCAGAATTTTGGACAAGTTTTGGGGACCAAAATTTAGGTTTATTTACAAAACAACTTTATTGTGGGGCTATAAACAAAAGTTTGAAAATTTCAAGGGGGACCTTGTGCCCCTCTCCCTCCGCCCCTGGTCCTCTTTGTCGGCAGAGTCTTACCATAAGTAGTAATATCCTAATCAATTTTCCATCAGGCATGAGATTGAAATTTTCTAATTACTCGAATATAAAACTAGAAAATAGCAAGAGTAAATGGTTAAAACAAATAGAAAGGAGTCTGTACCTGAGTAGAACCAGTATCATGATTCTCTATGAAGGTAACAGCACGAGACGGCCACCACCCAACAACCCCTGGAGGTTTTCCCTTCTGATCTGATAATCGCCAATATTCACATCTGTCAAGTGCCTACAGAAAGAACTGTGCTGTAAGTGCTATAATATCATACAATTAATAATAGAAAAGAAAAAATAGCTTGGAGGATAAAGTGTTACAAGAGATGAGAGCATTATTACAAACAAATTACTGTTTTTCTTTTCTTTTTTCCTTATTTTTGTTTAAGTTTTTGTTAACCCTAACTTTTAAAGGCAGAAGCTAGAGGTTCCACAACAACAGGCATGCCAGGAAGAGTAGCAGGTACGATTGATCCTATTAAAAAAGATATTTAAAATAAAATAAAGCTGGATGCATGAACTGCAGTTGGATTATTATGCAGATTGCATAGCACGTATCAAACTGAAGGGAAATCTTACATAGTAGCAAAAAAAACAACCATGTTTCATGCCGGGGTGGGGTGGGGTGGGGTGGGGTGGGGTGGGGAATAGGCCTAATAAGAAACAATAGTTTGTAAAGTGACTGGGTCTAAAGATGCGATGTTTGGACAATTGTCTGTCAAGACAATGGATGATTGAATTAGAAACAAACATATTCATAAAAGTTCGAAAATAAAAATCAAAGAAAAAATTTGTGAAAATAGTTTTTCCATGTGTGCAAAATCTAGAAACTGCAGAAGTGAGAATGGCTGACATGCTCTAGGCTGAAGTTTCCGCAAGGATGAGAAGAAGGTTGAATTGAACATGAATTGAAATAGTCAAAAGACATGCTAGCTTATGGTCCAAGTTGGTCTAGAAAAGTGGAATCCTAAAACACAAATCAGTAGCCTCCCATGAACATTTAGGACATTATCTTCATTGATTTGAAGATAGAAATGGGTTTTAGCAACTTGTATATAATTTATACTTTTAGAAATGCCAACAATGTTCCCCTTGTTCACAATTTGCAGTTACTTGTTCCCAGATATTGCATCAAATAAGTATCTCTTATATAGCATTTGAAAACACATTGACTCCTTAATATAAACAAAATCAAAATAATTCTCAAAATAATATAGAAATGAGAATAGTTAACAAGTCTCCACCAAAAATATATTTGTATATATATATATAATAATAATAATAATAATAAAATAAAAAGTTGTGGAAAGATTTTATACTCAAAAGCTATTAAAAAGAATTATAAAATTGTGTAAATACAAAAAGCAGGTTTAATCTCCATGCCAAGTCCGTACTCGCAAAAAGAGAATATTCTGAATGAATGCTTACAGCATGAAGAATTCCTTTGGTTGTGACATCAAATGCACCAGCAGTTCCATTTGTAGCATTGATCCAGTCAATAATTCTCTGCCTATGCGCATCTTGATTGTGATCCATCTCGCCATATGTGTAACTGAGGGAATCCCAATACTCGCCTACAGCGAAGTAAGGTTCAGTAGCATCCAAGTAGTCCTTGACATAGCCACCCCAAAATCCCCGAACAAAGTCAAGCCTCCATCCATCATATCCAACTTCTTCTCTGCAGGTCCCATATCACCAGCAAAAACGTTAGCAGGTCAATTATCCAGAGAAACGGAATGCAAGTATAAGCTCACAGAAATTACTCGTCAATTTAAGAATAATAGAACTCCCATTGAACTGTTAAAGATCAAATGCAAAAAATGCAATGTATGAATGAAACTTCTTCAACTCATACAACTTTGCATTTATATTTAGCTCATTCTTGTCTTGTTCAACTAACAAAGCGCTGAAACCTAGGAGTAAATGGTTAAACAGCACAACTATTCTTGTTGAACAAGCAAAACACAATCAAATCTACCCAAATAAAAAGAATAAGATACCCAAGTATATTGCAGAAATGATGCAACATGTCTTTACTTCAAAATACATACATACCAGAAGATATGTTCCCCTGCCTGACAAGTTAAGAAAAATACTACTCTTTTCTCATCATCCTTGCCTTGGTCCCATTCAAATGGGGTCAGCTACGTTACTTTTTCATTCTTCATTCTTTTCTATTAAGTCGTGTCGCATATCATATCTAATATCTTAAGATCTTTTTAGGTTCTCATCCCATTTTAGCTTTGGTCTTCCTCTTTGCTCCTTACCTTCTATGTTAACTAGTGTTCCTTTTCTTATTGACACATTTTCTGGTATAGATTGTACATGACCATACTGTTTAATCACACTTTCTCTTATTTTATTATCAATATGTGTTACCCCTATCTTTTCCTAACATGTTGATACTAATCATGTCTCTCCTAATTACTCCCATCATCAACCTCAAAATTCCCATTTATACAACACGAATGTACAACCACCACCACCAAGCCTTTCCCAATTACTTGGGGTTAGCTTTGACGACATGAATGTATCATTTTTATTTCTTATTCAACGGTGCTCCATATAAGATGGCCTAATAACTGACTAACCATTCTATAGAATTTTCCATTTAACCTATTTAATATCCTCATATCACAATACCGCCAGTTTGCCCCTACTTATTACATCATCATCTATCTCCCCGTTACTTTGTATTATTGATCCTAAATATCGAAAATGGTTACGTTGAAAATTTCTTTGACTTTAGAATTGTTATACATTATCAACATTGTCATACTACTGATTTACATTCCATATATTTTGTGATGGAGGTCGTGAGCCGAGTGGTCTACGCACTTGCTATAGGCATAGACACATAGGTTATTTACAATTTATTATGTCTTATTATATATTTGACTTTCCGATTTATTTAGGGTTTATGTTCCCTAATTTTTATGTTTGACTTTCTTTAATTATCTAGGGTTTTATGCCTATATAGATGGCTGATGCATACATTGTGAGGCACGCTTTTCTGATTATTGATATTGATATTCAGGATATTGCTTGAGTTTCTTCCCTCTATTCTTCTCTTTCTCCCTCATTCTCTATTCTTCTTCTTCCCCTACATCAGTTTTGGTATCAGAGTGAAAGATTCTTCGCTTATTGAATTTATTCAGCACAAAGGATCAAGTTGCACGCTGTTCACGCCACAAACAAAATACCCTAGCCTTCGTCATCACTCAACCCCAGCAAACATCAAGCCAACAGATTCTCGCCGTCAGTTCTTGCTGCCGTCTTCAGCCTTTGCCGGAACCTGCAAACAGCCTCGCCGTCTTCTTATTCATCATCGGAGCACTGTATCGTCAATGTCGGATTCATCCCTGGTCGTTGCCGGAATCTTTGCTGGTCATCGCCAGAATTGGAGCTTCCTGTCGTCGCTGATTTTTGATCGTCAACTAGCAGAAGCCTCAGGTCCCTGGTTCGCGATTTGGAAAGCCGTCCAGATTTATATCCTATTCCAAATTAGGCCTGTTTGGTTACAGTTACAGAGGTAGTCCAGTCCTGGAACTGAACCAGTTTCAGCAGAAGCCAGCCCAGAAGTAGACCAGTTCCAAAAACAAAACAAAAAATCAATTTCAGTTACTGCCGCTTTTGGATTACCTGCTTCACTTGGGATCCACTTATAGGACTTCGGAAAAGGTACTTTTTTCCTTCATTTGAAAATCGTTCTAATACTTTATATATTTATTTGGTAGTCTAGAAAATTTTGCATGGTCCTAGCTGAAACCATTTAAATTTTGAACCTTTTTCACAATCACAAAAATATAAAAATATAGAAGAAAAAAAAAAAATTTTGAAATCATCTCCACGCACCTTGTTTGCACCCAAACCCCTATCTCTTGTGCATGAACTTTTAGTATAATCGATTTCATTGCATTCTAAATTCCTATTTGTGCATCATAGTATTTAATAATTTGAATTACTTGGTTCAATTTAAAGTCAAATATTGGCACATATTCCATCAAGTCACCATGACCATTGGAGACTTATACAAAGGTCAATCTGAAATGGAAGAGAAAATTCAAAACATGGAACAAAATATGAATACTTTGCAGAATACATGGCCCGACTCAGTGAAGAGGTGGCTAAACTGACCACTTCTATGGGTAAGCGTCCTAGTAATGAAGTCTGTTTCTCCTATACTTGGGACAAGTCCCAATGGCAGTCATCATGATAATCCAATTGAGTCTTCAAATCCTCACCGCGGTCTTCTCCCTGTGCCAGAGACATCTCGAACCCCTCAACAAAGGGATTCTAACTTTAGGGAGAGTCAAGTTCCAAATTCTAGAAGACCTATATCACATGTTCAGCCTGATCATAGGTTTCCACAGGTATACTTTGAGGATTTAGATGACTTTGAGCCAGTGTTTGAGGATGACCGAGAGAATCTTAAGAGACCTTTTAGGCCCCAGGGTAGATACCAGGAGTCATCACTTCCCTCAAAGACATTACCATGACCAACCTAGGTACTATCCTAATGATTCGGGCGACATTACCAAGAAAGTTAAGGTCGATGCTCCTAGCTATGATGGTAGGTTAGATCCTAATGCGTTCCTTGACTGGTTAGCTGACATGGAAGACTACTTTGAGTGGTATGATATGCCAGATAGTCACAGAATAAGATTTGCAAAGATGAAATTGGTGGGCTCTACCAAGAGGCATTGGCTGGGAGTTCAAAGCAATTTAGAACGCTTGGGTGAACCACCTATTACATTGTGGGCTAAAATGAAACAGAAATTTAAAAAATATATATCTTCCCACATACTACAGGAGGCAATTGCTAGACCACCAATAGATGAATCTGAGACAGATGTCTTCTAGTGTGACTGATTACTTGGCTCATTTTGAAGAACTCATGATAAGATGTGAGGTAAACGAAGAGCAATGGGTAACAGTAGCTAAATTCATCAATGGGTTAAAGCCTGAGATCAAGAGAGAAGTCAATTTGCATGCGCCTGACACGTTGGAAGAAGCTTATCACAAGGCTTTAGAGATTGAAAAGTATTCTAAGCTTCCTAACCCAAGGCGAATGACTTCTCAAGCCGGGGAGTCCCAACAAACAAATCAATATCTTTCGAGGGATCCCGTGGGTTTGCTGCCTCCAAAGATAGCAATAATTTCAACCAAAGATCTAATATTTCCAAGGGTAAGGAAATTTCAATGTCCAACACTAGGCCTGACAAGTCATCTATTGAGTGTTTTCATTGTCACATTAAGGGTCATTATGCTTCACATTGTCCTCATCGTACAATGACAATAAACATTGAGATGAATGAAGTTGTTGAAGATGAAGGGCTTAGTCTAGTTGACGCTATGAAAGATCCCTTCGGAAATGAGAAGGTTGAGGCAGATTTGGATATCGAAGATACACACATTAGCGTCATGAGGTGCATTCTATCTACACATACTGGAGAGGATAATTGGAAACGCACCAGTATCTTCCATACATACCTAAGATGTGGAGATAAGTCTGCAAGATTGTCATTGATGGAGGAAATTCAATGAATGTAGTTTCCAAATCAGGTGTTGCTATGATGAAGCTTCAACCTGAACCGCACCCGCAACCATATAAGGTAGCATGGGTAGAGAAGACTTCCTTATCAGTGTCAGAGAGGTGTTTGGTTAGCGAATATTCAGATAAGATTTGGTGTGATGTCCTACTTATGGATGTAGCCCATATCCTTCTTGGTCGCCCTTGGCTTTATGATTTGGATGTTACTAATTATGGTAGAGATAACACACGTGTGTTCAAATATAAGGGAACAACCATCATATTAACACCCACAAAGCCAATTGAGAGAGAGAGTAAATCCAAACATAAGTTGCAATCTCAGTCTGATGCAAAGAAACACCTCCACATTTTGACCCGAAAGGAGTTTGAGAAAGAAGTAAAGGAATCAGGAATTGTACTAGCACTAGTTGCTAAGGAAGTTCCTGAAGAACCTTCTGATGAAGTGGTGGATCCACCTCCCTTTGAGGTCACTAAATTGGTACAAGAATTTCAAGATGTGACACTGGAGGAGTTGCCTGATGAATTACCTCCCATGAGGGATATTCAACATGCAATTGACTTAGTTCCAGGATCCCAATTGCCTAATCTTCTTCATTATCGAATGAATCCTAAGGAGCGTGTTGAATTGCTAAGGCAAGTTGATGGACTTTTGCAGAAAGGTTTTATTAGAGATAGTCTTAGTCCATGTTCTGTGCCAGCTCTTTTGACTCCTAAGAAAGATGGTTCTTGGAGAATGTGTGTTGATAGCCGAGCCATTAACAAAATCACAATCAAGTACAAGTTTCCCTTACCTCGTTTAGATGATATGTTAGATGAAATGGCTGGTTCCCGGTGGTTCTCCAAGATTGATTTGCATAGTGGTTATCACCAAATCCGCATTAGACCGGGTGATGAATGGAAAACCGTCTTTAAGACACAAGATGGACTTTATGAGTGGCTAGTCATGCCCTTTGGGTTGTCAAATGCACCAAGTACATTCATGAGGGTCATGACTCAAGTCCTGCGACCTTTCATAAGAAAATTTTTGGTGGTTTACTTTGATGATGTTTTAATCTATAGCCGGTCTAAAGGAGAGCACTTAAGTCATCTTCGACAAGTTCTTGACGTTCTTCGAGTTGAAAAGT